TAGATTCAGGATTGTGACAGTATACAGCATTGCTGCTGTCTGACTTATTTCTCAGTGTTCCTTTTGGAAACATCGTTATGGTCCAGTCTTGTGGGGGTATGTAACATGGTGTACTGTAGAAAGAAGCTGTGAAGAGCCACAGTGGATCACTGTACTACAGTTTTTGCTGTTTCCAATAATGAGATTTGCATGCACATACAGTGTGTGAAGCTAAATCATCTGCACTACTGAGATCGATGAGCAGAAATACCCAGTTGGAGCAGAACCGTGAGCCTCTTTTGTTAACTGTTCCAGCATTACCAGTAGGAGGTTTTCCTGCAGTCACTGCGTTCCTCTAAGACCTCCCAAAAACCTGTGGTACATGGTTGATGACGCTGTGTCTACATTGGGGCTTTAGAAGTGTACTTAGGTAACAGTTGGATATCAGCTGAGGTGCAGCTTCAGCTTGTCTATTGCGAGTGTGTCGCCATCCATCTCTGGTTTCAGTGGAAGTTCAAGGTACTCATAGCAGTACATGCACAGAAGGTGCCATCCCATAATTATGGTTATTTTTACAGTTGCATTATATACTGGGAAAACACCCGTTTTAGAGATAATTTGCTTTCCTTGCAGAAATGTTAATTAAAATTAAAATCATAGTCTTATTTCATCTTGACTTTTCTGTGTAGCACAATATGTGATATATTTGGGCATGTGATTCTATAATCTGAAAATAAATTAGATTGCTTATTAAGAGGGAAGAAAAGCCCGGCACGTTCTTCCTGTAATCTGAGACGGATAAAATTTAAGATAATTTTTTGTGTCCGTTTCCATTAAAAAAGAAGGATTATCTGAGTGGAAAGGCTGTGGTCAGGGAGTTGTAGGGTACTGCATTAGTTCTGAAACTGCTGTGTTAAATTGGCCATTTATGGTGCAGAGCTGTATCTAGTATTCGTTGGCTACCGTAAGAGTTTCAGATGGCTGTGACGGCAACTTAGGAGTCATAGAGCACTGCATTGAGGTTCTGAGGTTGCTTTGTTGTTCTTACAGAATCACAGAACACAGAATCCCAGACCGTTAGGGATTGGAAGGGACCTCAAAAGCTCATCCAGTCCAATCCCCCTGCCGGAGCAGGAACACCCAGATGAGGTTACACAGGAAGGCGTCCAGGCGGGTTTTGAATGTCTGCAGAGAAGGAGACTCCACAACCTCTCTGGGCAGCCTGGGCCATGCTCTGGCACCCTCACTGAGAAGAAGTTTCTTCTCCAATTTCAGTGGAACCTCCTGTGTTCCAGTTTGTGTCCGTTAATGGTACAATGGTGAATGAATTTGATTTTGGAGCTAAAACTTAGAACTACATTGGGATTGGATTGCATGGTTGGAATTGGTTCGTTAAATCCTTGACTGCTTTCCTCACTGGTAATGTTTGACTTGTGTTTTTATGATAGGAGCTGGGCTGTGGAGCCAACTTATTCTGTTGTGGCACCTTTAAGAAATTACACTGGGGAATTTTTGTAGCTCTGCAAGAAGAGTGTTACGTTGTCTTCATCCCCAGGAGTTAGTATTGGAGATTTTAAAGACAATTTGAGAGAAGTCGGTTTGAGCAAATAATACAGGGGGAAGGTGTTGAAAGGGCGATAGTGACACTAGATGATACAAGTTCTTTGGTTCTTTTGTATTCTCAGTTAAGTCAAAACCTCCTTGCGATGATCGGTGACTTTTTAATGAAGTTACCATTACTGTGGACTGCTTAATGCTTCCTTCTCTTGAGCATTTCAAGAGTATAAAAGAAGGAATAGTCTCTGCTCAGTTCCTTCCTTGACAGTGAAGATGCAGGAAGCATGGATTGTGTTTTCCATGTTTTTTGTCTTGCTCTTTATTTGTTACTGTGTGTTGTATTTTTTAATATATTAAAGAACAAACAAACAAAGAAGTCATACCCACCTGGCCCATGTCTTAGTCTGCACAGACGTTTTTCGTCTTGCTCTTTAAGATTTGTTACTGTGTGTTGTATTTCGTAATGTATTAAAAAACAAACAATGAAGTCAAACCCACCTGGCCCATGTCTTAGTCTGCACAGAGCAGGAACTCTGCCTCGCCTGCTGGAGGCATTTAGCAGTCAGAAAAACGGAGACAGCAATGCAGCGTCAAAATGGACGTTTCAGATCATCTCAACTTGGTGGCTTTCAGCCTGGCTCGAATGGCGTCTGGAGCATCAGTTCCACATGCAGAGCGAGCCTGGCGCTGTGGGCCGGCCCCGTGCAGCACTGACCGAGTGCCAGCATCTCCCTTCTGCATGGCAACTGGCCTTGGTACCAAGGATCCTATGCTGTCCGTTCTGGAGAGCCACGAGTGTTGCAGAGAACGTAGCATCATGGAGATGCTTTGATCTGTGCTGGTTTTAGGGTCTTTTGCTGTGGACTCCAAAGGTTTGTGTTTTAAGAGAAAGTAACATCATGGCTAGTGCAAGTTTAGTTTACTTCTGCGTTAGGGTGACACCGTCATTCACATTGGTCCTGGCTCCTTCTGGGTCCCCTGGCTCTGGCTTAGATGTGTCTGGGAGATTTCAGCCATGTGTTCTTACAGCTTGGCTTATTTTCTTATTCTCCTTGCTTGACTGTGTTAGCTCTTAACTCCTGTGGTGTGTTGCGTTACAGCAGGGTTGTCAAATATGTTATGGCACAAAGTAGTTGAAGTTTCTGTTGTATCTCGGACTTAGATTGAGCCTTGCTCTTAAAAGCATTTGCTCTTCCCTTCATCTCTGCACCACCCAGTTGCAGGCAGTTCTGACCTGAGCTCACTTATTTCTATTTCCTGGATATGAGAGGGGCAGAAGGTACAAGATTTTAGTCTTGTGCAGCAGAGATTTTTTTAAACTAGAGATTGTTCATCTGCAAAAGCCTTTTTCTCTGTATACTCCTGCAGCTACTTCTGTGGGGTCACTTCATCTGCACTGAGGGCTTGCATAAAACATTTCTTTGGGTTGCTGCAAGTTACACAATAATTCAGAATCCCCGCACTTCAGTGCTTTGTAGCAATGCAAATAACAGTGAGAAGCGTTAATTTATCCTTCTCTCTTGTGGTTTGTGAAAACACTCTGTCAAAGAAGTCAAGTTTGTGTAGCTTATCAAAGAGATTCAGCATCCTGAGACCGTTATGATACCAGAGACTGAGATTTGATAAAACTGAGTGTAGTGAGAAACTCAACATTTACTCTCCATATGTAAAAATTTTTGGATGTAATTGGAATTGCATTTTAATGAAGGCAAGAATCTCAGAGGTAAATCTGGGAGTAAAACTGGCATGGCTGTGTGGCAAGGCTTGAGGAACTGCTTTAATTAAAAAAATTGAGAAAATAGGCAGGTCTGACAGTAGAGAAATTGGGAAGCAGAAGCCCCTGAGCATTGAGGAGAATTAGAAGAGCCAAAGCAGTTGTCAAAAAAGGAAGGAAAGAAAGAACAGCAAGCTGAAGCTGTACCAGTGAAGGAGAACAGCAGGAAGTTTACAAAGAGTTGGCGGGTCTGTTCAGTCAGAAGCTTTGAAGGACCAGTTTTCTATTAGAGGGATATTGCAGACAGCTGCGTAGGACCAGCTTTTTCCTGGCAGCAGAAATGAGGCAGCACAGAAGGGACAGTGTTGGAAGATAAGATCTGTAGAATAACCTGGCAGTTTTGAAATAAAATGCCAACCAGCATGGATAGTACAGTCCTGATGCTGGGATGGTAAGTGGAGGTGTCAGCACAGAAGCCTGTTGAGCACTGCTGTTTCTGCAGTGTGTATCACAGCAATGCAGACTTTGAAACAAGTTGGCCTTTCTTGTGCTTGGCTGTTGTTGTAATGGGTAACTTCGCACTGTGCATGCAGATCTCACTGAGGGCTGGTTAAAATTTTCTACCAGGCCTTTTTCAGACTTTTTGAGATGACACGAAAGGGTTCGTACGCAGCCGCTGAAATGGAAAATAAGCTCCGGCACTTTTGTTCTCATAAATTCAGTGCATTGCGCAGCTTTTTCAAAACACGCCCGTAATTAAACATAATGTTCAGTTAAATTTACACATTAAAACTTGTTTTGAGATACCTGATAGGCACAAACTCGTGAAAGAGTCTGAAAAATTGATAGTCCAAATACAATTCTCAGCTTTCTTCAGTGCAGCTCCAGCCATCCATGATCACCAGTCTTGACAGTGAGTTAGAGCATGTACAGACGGTGTACAGCAAAGGTGACTTCTTTGGGAGTAGTTGTTAATATAAGTTATGGTAAGGCCTGTAGTTAGTAATAGCACATGTGTGCTGGCCATGTCCGACTTGTATTTCTTGCTTCTGCAGACAGTTACCTACAGGTTGTTTAGGGCAAGTTAACTTGCTGCTTGACACGTTTCTGCTTCTGGATAGTAAGTTACCTGTAACTAGGTTCGGTTGCTTACTCACACGTGCTGTATTGCTTTGTCTCTGTGGCCTGATGGTGCTGCTGGTGAGATCTTTGCTGTCAGTCAGTGAGCTGTGACCCTATGGAGGCGGTCTCATGAAACTGCAGTAATAGTTTAATGTTCAGTTTGCAGTGGGGAAATGGAAGGCTTAGGCATTTTGTGTGCTTACTGCTCCTAGAAGTAAAGTAGCGTTGACCTCTGCGTGCTGAAGTTTTCCAGTTAAATTCTACAGAGTATAAACGGAATTGTTCTAGGCCAGGCAGCAGCCAAAAACTTGGATAAGTGAAGTCCTGACTAAGAATTACTGACTTGCTTGGTTTCACTCCTGTGTAATTCTTTTTGATGACTGTAGGACGACTTACGGGTGGAAACATTTTCAGGATTTTAGGTCAAAAAATATAAGACCGAAGGAATAAAGCGATGTGAATTGTATAAAGTACTGCATGGTTTTTCTTGAAGTTTTGGATAAATACTCGTATGTGTTCATCGGTGTGACATGTTAATCTGGTAAAGCTGATCAACGCAGTAACACTGTACAACATAAATTCCCATTTTGTTTTTATTGCAGTTGTTTGTGAATGAACGTAGCTGAATATGGATCCAGGTGGTGGAAGTCTTGGATTGCAAGCGCAAGAATCCAAAATGCCTCACACTATGATTATGCAGGATTTTGGTAAACCTTTTAACTATTAAACAATAGTGAATAAAAACAAGTCTGTTTTTAATCCTTTTGCTATGTGCTTGTAAATGATACCAAGATGTAGAGTTGACTGACAGAATAATTCTACTTCTGTTACTTTTTTGAGAAAATTCACAATTTAAGTTGGTGTGTAATATGTTTTTATATACTTTGGTTGCTGATCTTGAAATAGTCGCTTATTCCCAAATACTGAGGTAATTCTGAAAAAGGAAAAGCTAAGTATGTGACCCAGAGTGCTCTGGATGAGATGGAAAATGTTATCTGGAGTTCAGTGGTCTTGTGGTGTGTGTGTTTGAAATCGTATTGACCAGTTGTTGTATCTCCAGCATACAGGAGATGGAAAAACATCCAGTACAGGATGTAGACAACATCCGAGCTTTTGTGTGCTCACCTTGATTATGACTGTATCCTGCTTTAGTTCTGCTTTAGCAATAATTTTGATAAGAACCATTTTCTTGAGTGTTTTATTTATTAAAACTGCTGTTTGCGTGCATGTTAAAATAGTTTGCTGTGCATTTTTTTATGTATAGAACAGTTGTCTGCAAATATCAGTCAAGTCTATTAATGAAAACAGGTTTCTGCCTCGAGCCATTCCTTGCAGTGTGACAGGTAGTTGGAAATTGTTCTGAATACAACTGAGTATTTATTTTTATCAAGGCCCATGCAGTCTAAAGGATGAGAGTCTTTGTTATAACAGCAATTAAGGTATTGTTGCCACCCTTCCAGTATCACGCAAGAATTCTGTGAAGGTTCACATTGCTACTGTACTCATATGTTTTCTAACTGGAATTTAGAAAAAGATGAAATTGCAAACCGGCCTGTAGCGTTTAACCGTGTCAGCATTGTGAAACCTAAATTTGGAGCGAACTCCCCCAACACACGATGTCTTGAAGAAGTGGCACGTTTTGTGTTTCTCCATTTAAAGAGCACAGGCTGCTTTGGATAGGCATTATTGGGTGAAATGCAAAATGTGGATCGTTGAATAGCAACAGACTTGTACATTTATGCTTAACTTCTCTATAAAATGATTCAGTTTCTTAGATTATCTAGTTGCTAATGCAGCAATTTTAACATTTTTCTCCTCGTTCATCATTGTTTCGTAGTGGCTGGAATGGCTGGCACTGCTCATATTGATGGAGACCACATTGTTGTATCAGTCCCGGAAGCTGTCCTAGTTTCTGATGTTGTTACGGATGATGGAATAACTCTTGATCACGGCTTAGCAGCTGAAGTTGTCCAAGGACCTGACATTATCGCTGAAACGGATGTTGTAACAGAGAGCGTAATTGTTCCCGATTCCGTTCTGGAAGCTGATGTTGCTATTGAAGAAGCTTTAGATACCAGTGATCATGTTTTGACTTCTGATCTAATAACAGAAACCGTCAGAGTTCCCGATCAGGTGTTTGTGGCTGACCTTGTTACGGGTCCCGATGGACATTTGGAGCACGTGGTGCAGGACTCCGTGTCAGGAGCCAACTCACCTACGATGGTTTCAGAAGTTCTTGTAACGAACTCAGATTCTGAAGCAGTCATTCAAGCAGCCGGCACTGTTCCTGGCTCCACAGTGACTATAAAAACAGAAGACGATGATGATGGCAAGAGTACATCTGAAGACTACTTAATGATATCTTGTAAGTTAAACAAGGGTAGATACAAACAGGAGATTATCTGAAGTAGAGGTGGTCTGGTGGGGAGAAGTTACTGTAACTGGAGTCTTCACAGAATGGTAGGGGTTGGAAGGGACCTCTGTACTGGAACTCTCCAATAGTCTGTTTTCCAGTTAATTCTGGGCGTCTGGATTTGAATTTTCTTGACCAAAAAAATCCATTGTCACTGGTAACAGCAAGAAAGAGAATGGCATTCATGCTGTTGTGTGAATAAGCGTGTGTGCTTGTGTTTATGAAAATAGATATTCCTGACAATTAAGGAAAACATATTGGGAAGTTAAACATTCTTCATATTTTGAGTCTAATAGTTTTTAAAACGCACTCGGGCGTATTACCATGTTATGTGGAGTTGTATAAAAATAACGTGTTGGGTTTTATCAGTAGAATCCAACAACCAAATTGGTTTTTAAGATATCTGACTCATAAAGCTTTCTCTTACGTGTCCACAAAATATTACTTGTTTAGCCGTATTAGAAATTACAGTAGGCGTTTTGTTGTCTGTTGTGCTGTTGTGGACTGAACGTGACACGAGGGGGTTGTGTGCAGTAATTGACTCTAGCACTGGCAAGGGGCTGCCCATTTCAGTTTCCACACAGCATTCAACTCTGAGGAAACTGTGTGGTCCTGTACTACTTGTAGAGTGAGAGCGACTGAGATCTTAGGTGTATTACATTACTTCAGTGGTTAAATTATACTTAAGATACCAATTTTTACTGTTACACAGACTTGATTAAATGATAGTTCATTTTAGATTTTTGACTTCTCCAAATTTAGTTACTGAAGTGTGAGGAGGTCAAACCAGATTTTATTTAGTCAGAAGCAATATGTTTTAAAAAAATAGCAATGCCAAGTGTGTCAAAGTGTCAATCTGTTCACAGCAAGCTGCATTCATTAAAATTTTCAAGACGGAGGACATGACTGATTAGTGATTATAATAACTTCAGTATTTCATAGCATTTATGTTTCTAACGCAAAATACATTTTTGGTATTTACTTTTTTGTTCAGTATCAGCAATGACTTTTTAATAATTCTATCGTTACTGTAATGCCATGTGTCACTCATAGAAGTCAAAAAGGGGTTTTTGGAAAAAGAACAAAAAACCCTCAGTCTAAAAGCAGATTAGACCTGCAGCGGAAAAATGCCTGTGTGTTTGTAAATGAAGGAACACCATTTTCACAGTCAGTTGTTTCACTGAAAGCATTCCTCCTTTCTGACAGAGTACTTACGATGAGTTGTATTCTGTAGCTGCGCTATTTCCAACTGCACCTTTGTAATTGTAAGTAAAGTCATCTTTGGAATTTCTTCTAAGATAGATAAGTGTGATTGATAATGATGAGCACAGCACTTAGACCAGAGCTGCTTACGCTGTCAGGGAGTTGCCTGATGGCCCCAGCTGTGTCTGACATGTTCACAGTTTTGTCAGGTGTTCTCAAGCCTACCAGTGGCTTTTGCAGTGTTTCAAAGCCAGTTTGAGAACTAGTTTTCAGCAAATTAGGTTTATAAATACGTATAATCATGGAATACCTGAATAATTACAGTTGGAAGCTACATTATTAATCAGAATTTTGGTTTAAGTAATCATTTTAGATAAGTTAAGGCCTCTGCTCAAAGTTTTGAGGCTGTATTATGCTGGGTATGCCACCTTGATCCAACAAGGTACCTGCTATTGATTTCTTTCCTCAGCAAAGACAAGTCAATCTTACGCAGTTGTTTGGTTTTGGTTGGTTTTTTTTAAGTGTTTATAAATTAGCCTTGAATTTTTTATGTCTGTTAAGGTGACTTGTGTGGAATAGGTAAATGCTACAGTTTATAAAGCAATTTAAACCCCTTTTTATTTACATAAATTTTTAAATTGTCAAATGTTCAGTAAATATTGTAGAAAGTTAATTTTATGATACTTTGTTTGGGATGTATCTACAGGACTGTTGAGCTTGTTCATAGTGTAAATCACATCACAATTACAGTTTTAAAGAATTTCAAAATACTTAGCTGTCTTTTAATGGAGTTTAGCATCTGTGGAGCTGGGACTTCACATAAATTGACAGCTAATTCCTTGCCCTGGTTTTGGGACATGCCCTTAGGCAATACCCCCAGCTGTTCTGTGGGTGCATTTGGGAACTTCTGAAGCACTGCATTTTAGTGCGGAATTTTAACTTGTCGCACTCTTTTGTTGAGAGTTGCAGCTTAAATGATGATCTCTCACCATTTTGAGCTGATGTTCCCATGTACGTGTTTTATACAGCTGGTAATTGTATTTTTGTAGAAATACCCTTTGGAAAATAATGAGTTTGTCTTGATAGTTCCGTAAACAAGCTGCATGTGAGTCTGTAATTGGAAATTTTCACTTGAACATTATCACCGCTCTGCTATCTCAGTGTAGATGAATGCAGCTTTTTAAATCAGCTTCATAAGCATAAGACTGGATCTTTTTTTATGTTACAGTGTATGCTGCCAGGGTTTATGCATGATCCCATTTTAAATCTCCAGAATACCTGATAAAAAGGGACTTGTTAAAAAGGAAATGAATAGAAAATTAATGGATGTGGTGCGATCATGGGGCCCAATCCATCTCATACCGAGATGGGAAAATTAGGAACAGTACATCCCATTTTGCCAGGGAGGCATTAGCACATGTGTAGCTTAAAGCGTACCCTTTTTTGTTTTTCAGGTTTGCGATATTCAGACCCACAGCGGATTGCCAGCTTCCGATCCGTGTGTTGGCCCTGCATGCACTATGTTGGTGACCTCATACCCACCAAAGAACAACACTGGAGCTGGCCTTTAGGGGTAAGGTACTGTTCCACCACCACCTCCTTTTTAGTGTATTACGATACAGTGTTACGTAATTTGCTAAACATTTTAATATTAATACTCCTATTTTGTAACTTATGGGATATAAGATAGCAGACATTAGAAAAATATGAAAAATTGTAAAACCACAGGACTTATCTTGCCCTGATGTTGTCCCTATGGGCTCCTATGGTGGGTGTGATATCACCAGCATAGTGCATGCTGAGGCATCACATGAATTGGGAGCTGGCAATCCACGGTGAATCTGGACATCACACACCTGAAAACAGCGAAGTGAGGTAAGTTTGAAATTGGAAGTGTGCTGAGGTTTCCTTTAAACCTTGTTTATTCAGAAGGATTCGGCATATATTTATAAAGGCTCTCTGTTGTGTTTTTTCAGTTAATTTTAAGTGATGAGATAATAATATGTAGTGCTTCTGGTGGATGGGTCAGATCTGGAAGACACTTTCATATTCCATTGACAAAAAGTAAGCTTTCCTGTTCCTGAGAACTGTCACTGGAAAAAGTCATCAGATAATTAAGCACTGATGGGTTAGCAGTCTGTGATTGAAGTCATGTTCCGTAGACAACAGATTATTTTCACAATCTGTTTTGTTTGTTTTTAAATCCTCCTATTTTGGAACTTGACAAAGATTGCATGTCCTGCTGTGTTGGTTGTTTTCTTACCTAAATGTGTTTAAAAATAGCTTGAAACTGTGAAATTTACTTAATGGTGCTGTGTTGGTCGTTTTCTTACCTAAATGTGTTTAAAAAATAGCTTGAAACTGTGAAATTTACTTAATGTGAGACAGCAATTCAAGCAATAGCAGTTGCCAGTTCAGTGTCTGTTGTTGTTGAAGTGTTTGAAACGAAAGGCAAGATCTTATTAATGACAGTCTGTGTCAGTATCATTTTTCCCAGTCCAGTTTGTATTTTTCAAATTTTGTTGTATTTCACTTTTTTAGAAAAGTGATTCTAGAGGCCCTGGATATACAGGCTTCCTGATGGGTTTCCATTACTTTACCTTAGATTGTAGAGACTGAATATCATAGAAAAACACACAGGATGGTTAATGGTGTGGGAGTAACCACTAAGTTTATAAATAATGTTGTACGTTTGCCCCTCTAAGACGGGGCTCCCTGTTTTTTAAAGGATATTTGGGGTCTTTACTTGAAATGGTAAGATAGAGCATGTGAGCATACATGCTATATTAATGTACTTTATGGTTTTGGCTGAAAATAGTTATTCCTCTGAAAATGGAAAAATTGAAAAATTCCTATTGTTTTCTTTATGTAATTTTTGTTTTATAGCAGTTGATGTCCTGGTAAGGCAGCTAATGCAAAATGATGTGTTTATTCTTACTTCACCAGGTGCACAGTGGTGTACAGTCACTGCCACCCGATATTGGTTAAATAATTGGAGATTTTTGCCATAAAGACATCCTGTTATCAGATACATGTGATCGCTGTTCAGTAGGAAGCTGCTGTTGTTAAATAACCTTCCAGTACTGAAACGCTTAATTCCTTTGTTAAACTGATAATGCCTTACGTTTATCAACTTTGAGTTTAGTAAAAGTTGATGTTGCTTGAGTTGCGGACTTGAAAATAACTTCACTACCACCCACCAGTTCTAAAATTACAGTAACAGCTTGCAATTAGAGATTTCGTCCACCCAGCTTTCTTCTTCCTGTGCTTTGGCAGCGTGTCTAGTCACACAGCTATATGTGTAATCACTCATGCCTTGTGCTGTGAGTTACCTCCAGTCCTTCATAGACTCATACATGCAGTGGAAACGGTCTTTGTACTAAAATTAAATGTACGTGTATAATTTTCAAGAATATGGGTAAGAAACTTTATAGATGTTAAAAGCCATGCAGGAAAAAAAGGTCTTTAATAAATCCAAACATAGTAAATGTATGGAAATACTTTTCCCAAGTATCTTTTAGTGTCTTGCCTTTTCCTGTCAGAAGAGTATGCATAATCCTCTCTTCTAATAACTCCATTCTGGCAGCATAAAAGATTTCAGTTAGCAGCTGCAGTAACGCTCCCGCAGTGGTGTAAAGATGCACTGAAAACCTGGTGCTGGTAAACTTGAAGTGTCAGAGTTCTCTGCTGGGGCTTTCTCATCTGGGATGTTCATACTCTTAACTGTTCTCTTTGTCCTGCTAGGTGACATGAATGCCATGCAGCATATGCAGGATTCTAACAGATTACGGTGGTGTTGATGTTGCTAGCTTCGATTTTAATGGATTTTGAATGTTTCTAAGTAAAAAATAAAAAATCTTTTTCCTGAGGATTTTTTTAATTTCCTGTTGATCCAAGCTTGATATTTTTTGGCAATGCAATTAATCTCTTGTTTACAAAAAGAAACAGCTAAAACATAGCTTTCTAAAATGTTTTCCATTTAATTTTCATAAAAATACATTATTTTCAGAGATTCTAACACTAAATCAAATACTTGGTAGTACTTACCTACATTCTGTCTGGTTCTGTCCTCACTAACTTCTGTACTCAAGCTTGATTTTTTTTGGCAATGCAATTAATCTCGTTTACAAAAAGAGACAGCTAAAACATAGCTTTCTAAAATGTTTTCCATTTAATTTTCATAAAAATACATTATTTTCAGAGATTCTAACACTAAATCAAATACTTGGTAGTACTTACCTACATTCTGTCTGGTTCTGTCCTCACTAACTTCTGTACTCTTCTGAGGCAGTCCAAGCTTTGTGAGGTAGAAATAAGGTTCCTTAATGTAGGGTGAAAAGCAGCGTTAGTTGGGCAGGTATTGCCGTGAAATCCTGTCTGTGAGTGCTGTGGTGGATTCCTGCCCTGTTGCAGGGAAGGCGTCTGCTTTTCTTCTCACAGGTTCTGAACCACCTCACAGGACTGCCTGGAGCACTAAGAAAAGCTTGACCTCGCTCCAGTTGACCTCGGGGCAGCAGGCTGTGGCCTGGAGTCATTAAAGGCAGCTCTTCAAGAGTGGTCACACTGCACCAGGGCTGGAGACTTAGAGGGGGCATCGGGGACTGCTGCAGCCACCCCAGGGTTAGCCAGCCTTTCCTCAGGGTCTCTCTGAGTAGGCTCTATCCTTAGCCATGAAACCCTACTTTAATACTAATTTTAATGATTTTTTGTTTAACCTGCTATGCACGTACTTTAATGTCGTGTATGCAGTCAATTACAGCTTCCCTGCAATGTATTAAATTCAGGTTTTGTTTACCTTTTGTGAATTGCTCTTCATTTAGAGGACTTCAGTGGGTGCTGAGCATTGCAGAGTTTTGTGTTGGCCATCTGCACTGGAGCTAATTGTGTCCACTGAGAGCAGTGTGTTGGCAACTCGTATGTCAGAAAGATGCTTCAGTGGCCTCTCTATTGGCGATTTGGGTTCTGTGTATGGTTGTGTGAATACCCTTGTTACCAAAATAGTGTTACTTCTACACTTTCAATCGTTTGAGTATCGTTTTTGTTGTATAAGTAAAATGAGCGCTTTGAATGTATAGACCAAATAATCAGAGCTGCATACATAAAGAATGAGAAGTCGATTTTGCATAGTAGTATTTGGATTTATTTTCACTGCATCTTTTAATCAGCTGTATATGATACAGTAATCTTCATTAATGTGTATGTTTTTGAGTGATAAAGTAGATAAAGTCGATTTAAGGTGAAGATGTAGTCAAACTTTTGATACACGCTGCTTTCACTGGTAATACTCAGAGTCATCACTCGTCATAAGAGTTTCAGCTACTAAATTTTAGTCACCAGTATCTTAGGGCAGTGAAACTTTTTGGAACTCTTGGACTGTAACAGACAATTCGGGATTAATTTTTAACATTTTTGATAGAAGTTTAATCTTGCTTTCCCAAGTGTAATAGTTTCAGACATAACCAATTACCACATTGTCTGGATGGCAAGCTCCCTCTTGTGTTCTTCATTCTGTATTTCTTGCAGCGTTTCCCAAGCTGCACAAAAATGAGTATTGACCTTCTGGAATCTCTTTTAAAAAAATCTTAAGCTGAAGTGTTTTGTAAAGGTCATTCATGAATACAAACCTTTACTATACATGGGGATAATAGTGGAGAAAATCGTGCTACTGATTAATTTGACTTTTAAAAAATGTGTTTGAACCTCATTATTATTCTCTTATCTTTACAGTGGATGACGTTGGAGAAAAATTGGACCATATAGGAAGCGCTCCCTTGAAAATTAGTACTGAGGTGACAAATGATGATGTTGCTAAAGATGATGGCTTTGGTTCAGAGGTTATCAAAGTGTACATATTTAAAGCTGAAGCTGAAGATGATGTCGAAATAGGTACCTTTTAAATTCTGTGTATTCTTCCAGTAGTTTGAAGTATTTCAGGGTCTCTTTATTGTTCGTAGTTTCACGTAATCTACTGACTGGAGTGTTTTGTAGAATGTGGCATTTGTGGAAGCTGCCCATATGTGGTGAATGCTGGGTGTATATTAGTCTCAACTTCTGTTCTGAGTAGCAGTATTTATTTATAGGCAACCAAAGCCCAGACATAGAAGTGGTTGGGTGTCTGCAGCTGTTTTTCAACTGCTGCTTTTCAAGACTCTGTGTCAGCACAGGAAAGCCTCTCGAGCAGATTGCTGTCATTGAACAGTCTTTGGTGGCGATGCCAAGAGAGGGAAAGATCGCTGAGGCTTTAGGCATGCAGTCATTTCCAGACATAACCAAGAAACTCAGAAGTGCTCTGCAGTTCTCTTATCCAGAGGACAGATCCAGGACTTGCAGGTGCTTTGCAAGTGGACGTACAGCTAACCCGTGTTCTGTTCTTCATGGCTTGTAAAAGCAGAATCCCACTTACAGTTGTTCTCAGAACTGAAACCTCTGGCTCTTTCCACTTTTCCCTTTGCATTTAGGTACTGAAGGTCTGGCTCACTGGAATGTATCTGGCCAGGAGCCCCAGAGCCATTCACAGGGAAAATCAGCCTTACTCTCTTCTTTCTGGAGCAGAGAAGAGAGTTCATCTCGCATAGAGGGGTAGCATTGGCTTATGCAGTGAAAATCTCGAACTTTGGACAGAACTGGGGGTTAGATCAGCAAAGTCCTCCAATCAGTAACTATCCTGGTGATGTTTTTCAAGTGGCTTGAACTGCTACTTCAGGAAATTTTTGACTGTATGATGCCTTTATTTTTCTTCACTGAGAAACAAGTTATCTTTTCAGCTCTTTAGTGGGAGAAGAGGATTGTTCCAGGGATAAGAAGACTGCTAGCTAATAGAGGAGTTGTCTTTGGTTTTCTCTGTCTTTCAGGATAGGTTCATTCTTAACTAAGGAGTTGCTCAGTATCTTTTGCAGCATGATACAGTGTGGATTTTGGAGTCTGTAAATGAAGTTCTTCACAATCGGAATCCCTTATGGCTGAAAACTAATTGACAGCAGGGATGTTCTCATAGGCTACTCAGTGCTTCTGATATAGCCAGGAGGGGGAGTTGTCTTCGGTTTTCTCTGTCTCTCAGGGTAGGTTCAGTCTTAACTAAGACTGTCTTAGGAGTTGCTCAGTATCTTTTGCAGCATGGTACAGTGTGGATTTTGGAGCCTGTTAATGAAGTTCTTCACAGTCGGAATCCCTTATGGCTGAAAACCAATTGACAGCAGGGATGTTCTCATGGGCTACTCAGTGCTTCTGATATAGCCAGGAGGCAGTCCAGTTCATTACTGGTGAATACTTCCCCTTGGAAAGTGGTGATTGTGTTGATAAATGCGTGTTTGCTGCTTGGCATTAAGGAATACAGGAACTGAGATGACAGTCTTCACAAAGAATACCCAAGATTCAAGTTTACCCCCCAGCAGCAGTCTCTTGATCTTTTAGTACGTGGGGGTGAGGTGAAGGGCTGTTCTTACGTGTCATCCATTTGCGTTGCAGTCCGATCACTTGAATAAATGTCCTTGCAAAACCACTTTTGGCAAAAAGTTTAAAAATGGACTTGGGTGGCAAGGATGTTAAGCAAAGTCTCCCATTGACAAAACACAGAGAATGATGGGTCAATGTATTCCATTTGGATTCAGCCACCTAGCTGAGCATTTTTCCAGCTGAGCAAACAAGGGCTCTTGGTATAGCAGGTGTCAGCTTGTTCTGCTGTAATGTGAAGCCTGTTTCTCTCGCTGTTTAGTCCCTGAGATGCCTGGAAAACTACGCATCAATATTTATCTGCCACCTCCCTCTGCCTTAAGTATCAATATCAAGTTCCAGGTTGGAATTTGTTAGTTTGCCTCTGTTCAAGTAACTCGGTGGGCCAGAGCTTGTTAGTCACCCAGATTGGGACCATATGGGCAGTTCTCATTTCCTTCTTTCCAACTGTTGCTCTTCAGATTTTGTTGTCTCCAGGGATTTGGTCCAGCACCTTACATCCCTGCTAGTCTGTTTTTCTCAATAATGTTGTTGAAATAATTGGCAGTAACAGTTGCTCTCTCCTGGTTTGAGAAGTGTGACCCCAGTATAAGTTACTGCTTAGTCCCGTGTGATGAGTCTGGGACTTTCACATTGGAATCTTCATAGGAAAAATTAGATAAGAATCCGTTTTTGCAAGATGAGTAGGTAGTATTTTGGCAGAGGAAGAGCGATGAGAACTAGCTGTTCACCTCTCAGGAGAATGTAAAGGCTGTGTTCTGGGCAAGATTATAATTGCAGTCATTTTTCTGTTGGGTGTAGGCAGGTCTATGTTTCCATTCACACCTAAGTTCACTGCTAGCGTGTGTCCAGGGCTCTTGATCCCTCTCATGTAGTGGTTGTTCCGTCTTGAATTCTTCAGGAGACGCTGAGAGAACTTTTTTCTTGTCTGCCCCAGAGTATCAGAGTTGCATGATTGTACAACAGATACAACATGGAATTGGAGTTACTGTGTAATAACTTTGTTGTAAATAAGAAAAAGTACTTAGATCTGAAATTAACCTTAACAGTGGCTTTTTTACATTTACTTAATGTGTTTAACTTCTTTTTGTTAAAGGTGGGACAGAAATTGTCACAGAGAGTGACTTTCACAATGGACATTCTGTAGCTGGAGTAATTGAACAAGGAGGTGTTGGTAGAATGCAGCGAGAAAAAATGGTTTACATGGCTGTTAAGGACTCTTCTCAGGAAGATGAAGATATTAGTAAGCATAATAAGAGACATTTTTGTTTCTCATGGTGTTTTGTACAACAATATAAACATCATTCTCAAGGACTTCTTTAATTTTTCTGAATTCTTCAGCCTGAAGTAGTAGAAAACTAAACTCCTCTTCCCTAAAAATAAAGAGCAGGCAATAATTATTTTAAAGTGATGTGGATAAATGCACTTTGTGCATACTGTGTGCAGTCATTTCATTATTTATATTAAGTTAAACATGTCCATGGACGAAGTTAATGAGGTTAGTGAAATCTCTCATTTTTCTGTTTTCCTGTTGTGAATTGCCTCGTTTAATCAGCTTTCTGGCAAAGTGGCAAACAAGTGTCGTCAGCTACAAGTCTATATGTTTATACATTCTATTTGTTTATACGGTATATTTGAATTTATGTTGGTATTTATTTTGGATTCGAATTGATTGATGTGTGTTTTCTCTTTTTAAGGAGTGTCTGAATAAACAATGATCCCCTAAGGGAAGGGATGGTTCTAAATGCCAAAGGAAGAAAAGTAATTTAGAACAGTTATCAATCAGAGCGAGAGCAAATTAAATTAAGGAAAACTTATTAAAAGATTTATTCTTCTCCTTTAATCCAGGCTGTGCTGAAATAGCAGATGAAGTTTATATGGAAGTTATTGTAGGTGAAGAAGAAGCTACTTCACTTCCAGACACACAGCTTGAAGACACTGGCGTGAATAAAACCTTTGTCCCCGTTGCTTGGGCTGCTGCTTACGGTAGGAATCTGTATGCTTATTTTCTGAAAATTCCTCCTGTTATTTTCTCCCTGATGTAGCTTCCAGAATCTCTGTCTGATCTCAAATGTGATAATCTCTCACCTCGTCCCAGGGGTTTGGAAACGGCGCTTTCTGATCTTTCAGCAGTGTCAGTTAGTGGAGTTGATTAAATGATGTGAAAAATTATTTTGACATCATTCACGCCCTCTTACATATAAAGTCCTTCGTTTGTAGTTCAATATGAGGAAAACAAGTCCATTTTTACATTGGTGGGGTTATTTTTTTCCCATGCTGGCCTGTCAGACAGTTACAGATTACTGCAGTGGTTGACTGTCTTGCATGTAATGAATGGATTGCTGTATGTTGAGTTTTAGGAAGTAGAAAGGAAAGCTGTTGGGAGGATTTTTACACTGTTCTTGATGGCAGCTCACATATACGGAACGTGAGGTTTTTAATGACTGTTTAATTGGACTGGTGAAGATCTTAGAAAAACAAGAATAGCCTCAAGTATTTTACATTAGATAGGAGGAAGGGGAAAGAACTTTAAAAAGGGAATAGTAGGAATAAGTGTGTAAACGTGTTCCAAATAATTTCAGTTTATGTAGCTGTTTTAAGCCTGTTAGTCCTTCAGGTTAGAAACAAAAAGAAACAATGTAGTTTGTTCTCTGCAGCCATGCTTCAAATAGTAGAAGTATCCTACCAAGAGATATTGCAGATTATGAATATTCTTTTATTTCATATACTTCTATCGGATTTTGGCACGTTAAATGTATATTAAGAGGGTATCAGGTCCTCCATGGTTTGTGTTATAATTAAGTAAGCAAGTTAGTAAATTAAAACTCATTGGTATAGTATTTCTGAGCACAGCAGTTGGGCGGATGAAGTGGTTTAGGAACACAGAGCCTTGGCACATAGCAGTGAACACTTTCAACCCAAAACAAGGAATACACTCTTAAGGCATTACTTCTCTGTCTCCCTGAACTTTGTAGTGCCTCGTATAGATGAGTGCTGAGCAGCTGATAAGGTACAAGTCATCTTATCTACCTAGCTCTACTCCAGAGAGATGAAGTACTTCGATCTCAAGCATAAACTGTGGATTTCAGATACCAATGCAGAAATGAGGTTATCTGAGGTTATGTATTAGGTTAAAAGTTTGCAGAAACAAGCATTCTAATTAGGAAGAGCAGGAAAGACAGTCAGCATGGTGAGCGTGCAAACACTGCTATAGTGCACGCTGACAAAGATGTGGTTTTGTTTCCTGAGGTTCATAATTGCAAAACACTGAACTGATTGTGAGCTGCACACCTCAGTTTGGCTAGAGTGAAGCCGTTACTTATTAGCTAAGTTAGTTTTCTCATTATCAGAGTTTCAAAGCCATTGTCTTTAAAAAGAATTTCAATTTGTAATGACTGAAATACCATTTTCTGCAGGAGATGAAAGAAGGCTACCCAGAAGATACGAAGATGGTCAAGCGGCAGGTAAGAACATGTAACTGTGCTCGGTACAGCATTAAAGCGAACTTGTTGTCTTTGGAAATATTTATGTGTCAGTTCTAGTCGGTGAACACAAAAAGTTATCCATAAAGTAGATCTTGAAGGACTTCACAGTCTTTCTCTGCTGTTTTGAGATGAAAACGATTCTAGATGTGTTGTAAGTCCTTCAGAGTGGGTGGGAAAGTTGGGAGGATCTGCCAGGTTTTTTAATACAGCTTTATAGTCAGAAAAGTGATAATGCAGTTGTTAAGGAGTAAAACAAAGTTAAATAAAAGGAAGCAACCAGCATAACTCTGTCTTAAGAGGTGTGAGAAATCAAGGAATGTATTTAAAAGTTAATCAGTGTTTAAACAATTACATTCCTGACTTTTGCCAGCAAAGATCGATAGTGCTTTATACTGGCACTCTTCTTCTTAATGTATGCTCGTTGTAGAGGAATGGGCGATTTTTTTATCTCTTATTTTTTAATGTAGATGTGCTGCTGTGCAATTCCAGTCGTCAGTCCCAAAGAAAAAAGTTGTTTAAGGTTTTTTATGGTGTCTAATTTTTGTTTCTAGGAAATAACTTGGATACACGATTAGAAAACAAAAACGGTAATGCAACACAATACCTGCAGATTTGTGATAGCATTAGCACTAATAGAGTGCTAAAGCAAAAAACCAAGAAAAGGAGGAGAGGAGAGGCCAGGCAATGGCAAACAGGTAAACACTGTATGGTTATGCGTATTGTCATGGAGTGCCACTTACTCCTGTACTATTCCTTCATTTTTTTTTTCCGTTAAGCAGATGCAGAAGTAAAAAAAATCTAAATGATGATTTGCATATTTCCTGTGTCCTTCCCCTCTCCAATTCTGTGCGTAGAAAATGTAATAATTTTTGCTATTCAAAGTCAGTACACTTAAGGCTAATTTGAATTTTGCAAGCTATTAAAAAGTAATAATAGATACACTCGCTGCGCATGTGATATTACTGATCTGTCTGAGCGGTTTCTAAAACAGAACTGTATCAACTGTGGATTGGTTGTTTTTAA